CGGGATGATAAAGGGATTTATACATCTGTCGTAAATAAAGCTTTCCTATCTTAATTCTTGTCACTGCACATCGAACGCCTGATTTGGTGTATAGATCGACATGGTGAGAACTTGCAGTAGATTAGGAAATGCTAATGGAAACCATCGGCCTGAGCTACAAGTGATTGAGCGTGCACCAGCAGCTGCACCCGAGCCAATCACGATGGCAGGAGTCCAAGCAATGATTCGTGCTATGATGGCCGAACAAAGGGAGGATATGAGGCAAATGTTGCTTAATAGGGATGAACCTATTGTACCCATTGTACAACCTGAACTGAACATTGAACAATCAGAGGAAGGAAACTTTAGTCATACTGTCAGTCAAGCTGAGCCACGTATGGTTAGAAGAAACCAACCCAATGGAGGAAATGATGGACGTGGATGTAAGTACAAGGATTTAATGGCATCCAAGCCACCAAGTCTTTCTGGAAGCCCAACACCAGTGGAAGTCATGGATTGGATCTCTGAGATGGAGATGATGTTTGAAAGTTGCGACTGCAACAACAAACAGAAGACTGCTCTCGTGGTTATACTGTTGAAGACTGGAGTGTTAAGCTGGTGGAAGCTACTAGCTGATACCATGCCCAAGGGAGAAGCTAGCAAGATGTATTGGAAAAACTTTTTGGTGCAACTGAAAATGCAATATTGCTCTGAGCAAGATCTACTGGAGATCAACAACGAGTTTCAGAATATCGCTTATTTTCTCTTCCTATTTACTTTTTGTTGCAACCTAAGAGAAAAACCTAAAGAAAGAAAAGGATACATATAAACGAGTTTTCTTCCTTGAAGACTTGTTAATCGAAAAATAAAAGGGACAAAGGGTGTGAAATTAGAGTATTGAAGAAGGAAGCAGGTCTCTCATTTTTTCTATGTACCACCAATTCAGCAGGTTTTATAATTGATTCTCTTTTTCTTTCCCTTCGATTGATACGTTTTATTAACTTCATACATCATCTAAATGTTTGATATGAATAAGTATCATGAAAATTCAAGGTATGTATGCATTTAGATTGTATGTTAATTTCCCGCGAAATTTATTTTTTAGAACATTTTTATGAACTAATGATAAAATGTTATGGTTATTAAAATACAACTTCATGTAAATCTATAATATTTTTTTATTGTGAGTGGGCCACCAAAATGTTTATGTATAGCTCATAATTCATGTACTCTCCTTTATGATGCATGTAGTCAATGTTCTAAATAATGTAAGACGTGACTTGACGGCAATATCAAGCCTCAAACTTTTCCAAGCCTTGGCGAGCCATGCCGTTTGTAAGGCGTGACTTAAAGCGGTAATTTTGTATATAATTAATATTATATATATATATTCAACTATTATTTATTTTTATACACATATATGAGTTAAAACGACATTTTGGTAAAACTTGACGGCATGTATAAGCCTTGAAGCCATGACGTGTTATAACGAAGCCATTACGAGTTTTTTAGAACCTTGTATAGTCATTTCTTTGTTGATTGGGAATGGTTCAAGTGATATGTATTTAACAGATGAATCCATACATTAGTTTGATTTTCGATGAGCTACTTTTTGGTGCTTAATTTTTCAAAGTATTTTGACTATTTTGTTTATTATTTGCTGCATAACCAAGTAACGATATTTGTAAGGTTTGCTATTCGTATTTAATCATGGAGTTTTTTTTTTCTTGTACATTGTTGATAGAACAAATTAATGTTATTCATATCGGCATGTCATTCATATTAGAATTTATTAGGATTTAGTTTATTATGTTATGATTTCTATCTTAAAGTTTAATTAAAATTTATTTATTTTCTTGCCTTTGTTAATATTCTAGTAAAAATATGGTTTGATAGTTGATTATTTTTTATTTACTTTATTGATTATGTTATTTATATTGGAATATATTTATTTTGTTACAATTTCTTTTATAAAAGTCACTCATGATTTATTTATTCTCTTAAGATTGCTATATTCTAGTATAAATGATATACAACCCAATGTTTATGTTATTCATTTATAAATTTCTACATGCAAATTAAGTGTTTTTGTTGTTATTTTGTTATTAATTTTTACTTGCACCTTATAATTTCTTTTGTAGTCACAACTTAAAAGAACTAAAAGAAAGAAAAATATTCAAAGCAAAGAAAGAAACATAATCAAAATGAAGAAAGGAAGAACGAAAGAACTATTTTATTTTATTGTGTAACTTTATCTTTGTACGTATGATAATATGTTGGTGATTTGTTATCATCAATGTTATTTAAGTGTAATGTGATTACTTTGTTGACCAAAAGTGATCTTGTTAAATATTAAACAAGTAAAGAAGGTGTGGAGTAGACACTTGTTTAAGTTTGATCAAGTATCAAAGTACACTGTCATTTAGGGGCGAAGCCCCTGAACGAACGGGGGTCCGGGGTTTTCTCGGTTTCTTGAGCCACAAACATGTCTACTATCCCCGCTTCCTCTTTATGAACGACACCGTCTACATTAACATTGGTTCTTTCCCTCACTAATGTGTACAACCAACTCAGTTTTAAATTAAATATTTATGGTTCCAAGTATAAACTGTGGCTGTAAATTTTCTCCAATATGTGTCATGGTACAATAAGTGATGGACACATATCAGGCAAATCTAGCCTTGCTGGTGATGATAATGAAGAATGGTACTCTCTTGATGCTCGTATCAAGTCCTGGTTCTATAGCACATGTGATCCCGATTTATTTCAGATTATTTCAAGTGATGATTGCACTGCCAAAGATCTTTGGGAAAAGATTGAAGAATTCATTCGCAACAACAAGATGTCACAAATGTTGCAACTTCAAGATCAATTCCGCAACACAAAGAAAGGTTCAAGTTATATTACTGAATTTTGTCACATTGTTAAAAATCATGCAGATGACCTCAAAGATGTGGACGCAAAGATTATGAAAATTGAATTGGTCATGAAAATACTTCGACAATTGCCCCGGTCCTATCATAGCATTGTCGATGATATCACGAATACCAAGCCCTTCCCGTCTTTCTTGGAAGCCAAAAACATGCTTTTATTGCATGAATCCCGTGAGGCTACATCAAACTCTATTCCTAACTCCACGTTGTTACAAAGCCCCACTTTATTTTCTTCATCAAACAACACCGGTAAATCCAAAAATCAATGGTCCAAGAATTGGAATGTGCATAAGAACTCATCCAAAAACTCCAATTATGGTAGGAAAATGGATCCGCAACATAACTTGCCTGGAATTTTCGGAAACACACCTGCCTCGTCGCCTCACCCAGGTTTCTTCAGCCCCATTGCTGCCTTCTCGTCACACCCACAACCTCCATAAGCTGCTGTTCCGCAACTCCTGTATCAACAAGTCAACCTACCTTAGCAGCCTTTCTTAGCAGCTTCGCCATCGGCAACATACGGTCATCAGCAACTGCCAACAACTTTGGTCAACAAAGTTCAATGTTGTTTATCTCCGTGCCCTCGCACCCTGCTGGTTCGCATTTCCAGCCACCACAACAATCTCCGTCGGTGTTCTCCTAGCAACCTCCCTTTTTGGTGTCATCGTTTGTGGTTCACTCACAATCTACACCGAACGAGTTTACAAATTTAGCATCGATGTTTCAGGCAATGTCGGTCCAACCGCCTTTTGAAAAAAACTGTTACATGGATTATGGGGCGAGCTTGCATACGCCATTCAATTCAGCTAACATGCTTTCCCTAACACCGTATAATTCTAAAACTTTCATGGTTGACAATTGTGCTATACTTCTTATCACTCATGTTGGTCAAACTTTTTTTTTCCTCCTTCACATAACCGACTTGCTTTAAATAATGTACTTATTTTGAACAAAATGGTTAAAGCCCTCGTTTCTTGTGCACCAATTCACTGTTGACAATTATGTTTTCTATTACATTTGACTTTTTTGGTTTCACTGTGAAGAACTTTAAAACAGGTGACTTCATTCATTGATGTGATGGTATCGGTGATCTCTAACCTATTGTTCCATCTCCTACTCCATCTCCTTAGCCACTCTCTATATTGCGATCTCTCTCCCTACTTGGCATCGACGACTTAGACATTCTGGCTCTTTCGTATTACAATTCTTGCATTCTTGTTATTTTATTACTAGTTCTACTAATAAGCTTCTCATCTGTCATGCTTGTCAGTTTGGGAAACACTGTCATTTACCTTTTTATTCCTCTACTACTAAAACATTTCGTTTATTTGAATTAGTTTATTCTGATTTGCAGACATCTTCTGCTACTAGTATGAGTGGTTTTAAGTAGCACATTCACTTTTTGGATGATTTTTCCCATTTTTTGTGGGGTTTTCCTCCGCATGCGAAATCTGATGTCTTTATCGTCTTCTCTACATTTCATGCTTATGTCTAAAATCAATTCAAAACTACCATTCAACTTTTTCAATGTGACAACGAACGTGAATTCAACAATCAAACTTTACTCAACTTCTTTATTGATAAAGGTATTAAAATTCGTTTCTCTAGCCCTTACACTTCTCAGCAAAATGGCAAAGCTGAGTGCGCCATTCGCACCATCAATAACATTCTTTGTACCTTTCTTTTTCAAGCCTCTCTCCAATCTAAATTTGGGGTTGAAGCTCTTCTCACTGCGGTTCATAACTGTCTTTGGATGCTTTTCCACGTTTAACAATTTCCACACATATACTTTTTTGTTCTTGGTTGTTATTTATTACTTCCTTTTATCATCATGTAAACATAAAACAAAAAAGTTAAGATAAAACTCAATCCAATTCATTTAGGTTGTAGTCGGTTAGGGAAAGTTGACATCCCTTTACCAAAGCCACAATTCTTATGAACAAAATACCATGTGTTACATTAATTCACAATAATTACACCAAGAGTCGCACATTATCCGCCAAGATACCATGGCTATATAGTAGTGACATATCTCTATAGCTAGCACCTAGTTTTAAGTACCACCAGGAGTTTGAGCAAGCATGCAACTTAAATTTTGGAAGCTGAATGTCGGTTAGTGGAGACATACTGGTCTGCAAAGTAGTCGTTTATCAATTGCGAATTATAATGTTCAGACGAGTAGGTGATATTCAGGCGAGATGGTAGGGAAGAATACACATGTTGATAAGATTGTGGTAGTTGATGTAACATTGTGGTGGAAGTGCCAGAAAAGAGTCTTGTAGGGTAGACGATACTACCGATGGTAAAGCCGGATGGATAATGATAGCCTCCATTTACTCCTGATTGCCCACTACATTAGGAAATAAATAAGAGTTTTTCAGTTATGTTGGAATATTAACTCAGGGTACAACACTTAACTCCTTAGAAGAAGACATAAGGGAAGATGAGGGCATTTATTAAGAGTTTCAAAAGATTCATATAATATATAATGGTGCCTCATTTACAATCGACTTTTTTTCTTTTGAAGAAATCGACTTTTTTTTGAAGAAGATAGCTTTTTGTTTTTATTTCTAAGGTACATATTCCTGTAAAGATATTTGGTTCTCCATTGATAAAACATCTTCAATCATCAATCTTAATACAAAGTTTTTTTTTTGCCACATTATACTTCTACTTTTTTTTTTTTTTTTTTGAAACGACATTATACTTCTACTAATTTATCAAACAATATACTATTAACTTAAACCTTCTCAAATCATTGACCATTTTTTTTTTAAAATCAACTAATTACCCCTATCTTTGTTAAATATTTATATATAAAACCCACTCATCTAATTTGTTATTTTTAAGCATATGTAATATATATAAAAATTTAAAATTTCTCTAACCATAACATTAAATAAAACCAATAATTTAAAATACACAATATTAAAATAATACCACGACATCTAGAGTTCAAATGGTTATAGTATTATTTACCTCAAAAAACAACTCATTATATGGTAAAAGAAAAACATTTCTTATAGTTAATTACTAATATTTGACCTCTCAAAATTAAACTTCCCAAGTTATTAATAACTTGGGTGAGTGTGTTATTTCTTTGGTGGGTTACTAACAACTTGCATCGGTATATATGTTAATTCTTGTATGAGTGATTTTAAATGGTAAAGATCAATATTTGATGAGTATGAACATTTGATGCTCATGCATACCGATAATTGTGTCATGTAAGATATCTTTAGTGAACAATAACTTTTGGGCTGTTTGAGACGTTAATGTGTAGGCGTTTGATAAAGTAAAATCTTGAAGTTAGGGTTTTTTGATTTCTACCTACACATCTACTTTGGACTTTGATATGCGATGAAGCCTAATGGTTGAAGTAAAAAATTGCACATATGATGTTAGGGTTTTGACTCTCATACTCAACATACTCGTCATACCCAACCGAGTGCTCAACGATTAACCTTCCACATGACCTGAGTTGGGTTCGACGTGGCTATTATCTTCGGTTAACCATTTTCTTTTTTTACTTTGACTTTGCAGGGATACAACCAACATGATCAATCTAAGAGTTTAAAGGACTTGAATAAACATAAATAATTATAAACAATAGAAGAGGAGAAGGGGGAGAGCTAGGGAAACGTACCCTACTTCATGAGGGGGTTGGGGTAGCAGATTATCAGTACTGAAAACCAGTTGACGAGCTTGGTTTAGTGTTTCTGTCTCCCTCTCTAAAACCACCATGCATAAACTGGAGGTTAATTATTTCATGAAATATAACGCAATTCATTGAAATAAAGAACATTAACAAGAAGAGCTAATTATTGTCGTAAAACTAGCTTATAATCAAAACCGGACACGAATGGGGCGAAATTTAAAGACATTATGGAAAAGATCACAGTTCATGATAAACAATGATCAAGTTGATTACCCCCATCTCACATTTTGAAAATAAACCTCCATTGTGTTCTTTGTGTGCGAGAATGTAAGTTGTGGTTCATACTCTACCTTGGCGATGTCGGTTCATGTGTCCCCCGAGGGCTTGAGACTTGCCAAACTTGAGGGAGCAAAACCTACACTCGTAAACCTTCGTTCTTTCATCTTTTCTGCGGTTCCTGCTTCTTCTGGATACTGTCGACCCTATATAAATATACGAGTTCACATACTTTAAAATTAAGAAGACCCCACAACTTGGTTTCCACTCTTTCATTTTTTATTTTAATCTTCTCTTTGAAAAGAGTATCTAAAATGTAAATCTGAACTCATTATCATGATAGGAGTAGCTAGCTAGAGAACTTGACAGATGTTAATTAAGTACCAGATACATGAGCAGAAGAAGTGTCACCAAGTAGTTGTTTGCTATGGTCCCAGATGAAATCCTCTGGTAGAGTGTTGAGATCTAGTGGGGTTTCCCTGAAAACCAACATCAATGTGTTAAAGACAAGTTAGATCAGCTAGTGAGCATGAACAAGAAGATGGGAGTCGGGGTGGATTCATGAGATTTGAGAGAAAGGAGGTCCATACATGTTGGTACCACAGAGAGAAAATAAACTTCACACGACTTTCAAAAGCCAATGAAACTATCAGCCGAAACAAAATCTTTAAGTTGCGGATATTCGAAATGTATAGGTAAATAGTAATACCTTGAAAACTAATAAAATATTAATTAATGTTATGTAAGAAAAGTATCCCGAAAGTTCTCTATCAGTTCTTATGCCACTTCTTGTTCATACACAAATGTAAAAGCAACAGTGGGAGATGGTCGCTTGTACCTGCTCTTCATCTGTGGTTACGGTCTGAAAGGTAAATCTGACGAATACTGCATTTGTTTGATGTGGTCATTGGAATGGAAAACAAGTTTAGTGGTTCACGCAAGACAAATTAAAAATAAGTTGTTATTTATCTTATCTTTAACACTAATTAGAAAAATCAGCAAAAGATGTACGTGAAAAAGATACTTACAAAACTGGCATCTCAACAGCATTCCCATAAAACTCAAAGTCAAGTCTGTTTCATAGGACAGACAAATACACTCATTGTTACATGAAACTTTAGAAAACACACATATCTAGCCGTACGTTTTCGGGCAAACACTACAGTCCAGAGCTAAGTGTATAAGTTAATACAAAATATCACTACTACTGTATGATGCTAGGGGTCATGGGATGAAAACGATGTATCCTTTAAAGTAATTGCCGGAGAGAGAGAAGCCCATGTAAACTAAAATCATGTTGAGTAAATGAAAACCACTCTCTGTTTGGGTGGTGATGATAATAAAACTTTTGTTTTAGATGTCCCACGCGTGACCCTCCACTTGATTATTAAGATCCACATTGGTTCTACGTGCAGTTGAGAAGTCCTTTTCGTCTTAATTTTTTTTTGGGGTAAATTACAGGAATGGTCCTTGTAGTTTTGGCAGTTTTTGTACTTGATCCATAATTTTTTTTTTAAATCAGACCATGCCTATGGTTTGGTTTTGATTCCGGTTTAGTCCCCAACCATTATGTATTTATTTTTAGTTTTTTAATACTATTATTTTATTTTTGAATAATACTAATTCAAGTGGGGTCAACACAACCCTACCCCTATCGAAAACTATACCTCTTTCTTTATTCACATTCTACATCTCCTTTTCTTTTCTTCTCTCATCTCATCAGTGATATCAATACCTCTGGTAGCCAGATCCTCTGCCATTATCTTCAATCGCACGAAAACATCTCGCTAACATATTTGCAACCATCACTTCCGACAGGAAAAAGCTAACATACACTAATGTTCGGTTTCCGAAAAAACGCAGAATACTAAGGTTAGTTGGTGTAGGAGATCAGCAAGAAAGAAAACAAGAGTAAAAGAACGACAAGAAAAAAAACAAGAGTTAGATATAGGAGTTGGTGTCCAAAGAGTCGTTGGCATCGGGAGAAAGAAAAAGAGAGGTGACTAGGATACGATGGCCAGAGCTTCACCAGAATCAGGAGAAAGAAAAAGAGGACGACTAGGATTTGGTGGTCGAAGTGTTGCCAACATCGATTTTGTTGTTGGGGAATGCTTTAGGTGGGTGGAAGGTTGTTTCCAACATCGGAGGTAGTTTCCCACATTTGTATTATCGTTTGTAGGTTGTTTGGTGCTTTGAGTTGGTTAGGGTTTTGGTGCTTATATGTGTGTTTATATAGTTGTAGGATTTTTTGTATTATCAAAATTGATTCCTCAATTCCTACATGTCATATATCATAAACTCTTTTGTTATTGTTTACTCTTGTCGGTTTTATTTTGTAGGTCTTTTGTGTGGTTTTCCAGCCATGAATGTTGGTAAGGGTGAGTGTGAGGGTGTTAGTGGAGGTAATGATGATTCTTCCGACAAAGAATAAAGAGGGAAGGGGTTGGGGGGCTCATTTAAATTAATATTCCTAGAAAATCATCTAAATCAATATTCCTAATAAACTAAAAGAAATAATAAACAAGCTAAAAAGGAATAAGGAACAGTATAACAATCATTTTAGGTATGATAGGGAATAAACGCGAACTAAAACCAAACTATAACGATGGTATGAGTTATAAATGTGACTTGAGTATTGAAGACATGAAATGAGAGTTAGAGCATTTGGAAGCATATGAAAGCATCAAGAATAATGATGGAGCATTTGGTGTTGGGTTGGAGCCCCTGACAGAAGACTGACACATCATAAGATGTTCCATGTAGGAAGATGCGCCCCTAAGGTTCAAGATGTGCCTTTGATGACTCAAGGTGCCGCCTTGTTGGACAATGTGAGCCGCCTTATCGTCAAGGTGCGCCCTCTTGGTTGTTCTATTGTGCTTTAGAGTGTTGATGTGTTGCTAGTGTGCTACTGAAAGGAGGATGTTCCCTTTTAAAAGCAGTTGCATGAGGACTTGTGACTCATTGACACCTTTAATAAACCTATAAATTAATGGGTTTGGCTCATTATGGTTTTAGGTCTGATTGTTAGTCTATAAATAAGGATGAATGCTAGTAACTCATTGATATCTTTGTATCTTGAATCCTTAGTGACTAGGCATAATCTCTACTAAATTGTACTTGTAATCTCTATTTGAGAACTCTTGAATGAGAATACTCCCTCCTGCCCGTGGATATAGGTCAACTTTACCAACCACTTAAATACTTGTGTCTTTGTGTGTGTGTGTGTGTGGTTTTGTGATTTGTCTGCTTTACTTCCTAACAAGCGATATCAGATCTTGGCAAGTGGCATCATAGTAATTTTGATTCTTGATAAGTGATACATGATTTCAAAATAAGTGGTATCAAAGCTTTAGTTTTTTTTTCGATTAAAGATGTCGACTCACAAGTTTGACTTGGATAACTTCAATGGTTCGACTGACTTCACTTTGTTGAAGGTGAAGACGAGGGTGATTCTAGTTTAACATTGTTGTGCGGTAGCATTGGAAGGAGAAGCAAAGCTGCTAAAAGACACATATAATGAGAAAAAGGTGGACATTTTGGAAAAAGCACACAATGCTATTTTGTTGACTTTAATAGACGAAGTATTATGAGAGGTTGTGAATCAAACAAATATTGATGAGCTTTGCAAGAAAGTCTATGACAAGTATTAAAATAATTCTCTCATGAATAGGTTGTATTAGAAAAAACGTTTCTATACTCTTTGGATATATGAAAGTACCCAAGTGACGAATCATTTAATAACTTCAATCATATCATCTTGGATTTAAAAGGTGTGAATGTAAAGACTGAAGATGACGATCAAACACTTATCCTCTTATGTTTATTGTCGAATTCGTATGAGAATTTCATTGATACCATGTTGTTTGGAAGGACAACGATTACTATGAATGATGTGAAGGGTTATTTGTTGTCCAAAAAATGAAACGAAAGGTTTCAGTTAGTGAAGATGTTTCCAGTTCAGGATTAATCGGAGACAAAGGAAGAACATTTGATAGAAGTGGTGGTAACAGAGGCAAGTCATGTTTCGAACGGAAAGCTTTGGCTAGGATTAGATGTTATAACTCTAATGAAAATGGCACTTCAGAAGAGATTGTCCACAACTAAAGAAAGGGAACCATGGAAGTGAATCAACCAACAATAACACTGATGTTGTGATTCAAGAGAGTTATGGATGATGGTGTACTTTTGACTATATGTACAACTGATCCAAGGATGGACTAAGGAATTCTGGTGAAAGAGTCTGGGTAAAGGTTTCTAAAGGTTCTCTAGTAGTTATGAAGGCTACGCTTCAACATGTAATTTATTTATTGGAAGATTGCATGGTAAGAGGAACGGTGGTTGTATCCAAATCCTTGGATCAGTATAATGATAAAAAAAATAATTGTAGCATCATATTTTGGGATACATGGGTGAGAAGGAAAGACTCCAAAATTTGTTATTAGTAGAGATGTAACCTTTGATGAATATGCTATGCGTAACTAGAGAGGATGCGATACAAGTTTTGAACGAAACGATCAGGGTGCTGGCCAGAATAATAGTTATTAATGGGTCGACTTAGGTTTGGTTAGAGTTCAACCCATTTATTAATTGGGTCGAAGATTTCAAAGCAACCCAACCTATTTAATTTAGTAGGTTGATATTATCAACCAAATCCAACTTATTGGGTTAATGGGTTGCCATCTGTTTGATATGTTTATGCTTTTTCCAACCCAACCTATTAAATAAATAGGTTGAACCTGGTATACACATTTAAAACTAAAAATGTAAACAAAAAATAAAAAATTACACCTAATTAAATTAGTTTAAAACCCAAATAGATATTCAAAGTAATGTAAAAGTACGATCCCAATTAAAAAATACAAATAAGTTGTTCAAAAAACATCATAAATGTTTAATATCTAGATAACTTGATTTCCGTTTTCACCTAACTCCTATTTCACTTTCGACATTAATTTCATCTTCATCATTTATCTTTTCCCTTATGATGGCTCTACATAGCTCCTCAAGTCGTGCTTCCATTTTTACTATAGAAATAAATAAAATTAATGTAGCTTATTAGTTGAAGTAAAGTATATATAAAAGTTTGAATAAACATTCTCCATAGACCCAACCAATTAGACATAAAATACCATCATCATTAGAAGGATTTAAAGAACTTCTATAAGTATAAAGGACCATACCACCTGTGATGAAAACTAATTCTGATGCAATCGTTGAGATTAGGATAACTATGATGTCCCTAGCCATCTGAGCAAGAGTTAGATATCGAATTTCATGTGATCTCTAATAGTAAAAAATGTTTAGTTATCGACACGAGGCATGCACTTCTCCTCTAAATAACATTCAAGTCCAAATTTGACAGCTTGAGAAGTCACCTTACTTGAATAGTTATCGAAATCCTATAATTTATCAAAAAGAAAAAACTCAACTATACACATTAAAAAAAACAACCTAAAAATACAACCATACACATAAAAAATCAGTAGAAAAATATAGTTATATACACGGAAAAAGTGGCCAAAAAACACAATAAAAAAACACAACAATATACTTGTAAAAAACACCAAAACAAGCAGGTATATATACTTGAAAAACATAGCAATAAACCCAAAAAAAGAAAAAAACACAACAATAAACTTGAAAAAAAAAAGTGCATCATATTTTATTGAAGAAAAAACAAAACAATATACATACCATTAAAAGAGAAGCACATTCTAGTACATATTGAGGTCCTTTTTAGGAGTTCAACGAGCTGCTTGTAGGTCAACCAACTTTTGGAGTTCTCATTTATTATTTCCAACTCATATTTGTACTTCTCCCCATAAGCTTTCTCATAACCCCCATTCAAC